CATATGTTGATGACCAGACTACTCTGACATTATTGGCTGGTATATTTCAATTCCTCTGTCTTTCATTTTGTTTTATTATCATCCAGATCCTACTTTTTTGTACACTAACATAATGTAGCAGCATTTGACTAATATCAGTCATGACAGACAGGCGATTCATTATCATCCTTAGCTTGTGACTTCCACTTGTCGCATGTAACATACCGCCAGAGCTAGTACACAGGATAGGCTGCATTAGACTGGATATTGATTTGGCCCAGTAAACTTGCAAAAACCAGGCTCACAAACTAATTCAGCCAAATTATTTGAATTTAAATTGATTCCATGCCATTGAACGTTATGCCCGAGGCTTTCTATTGCTTGCACACATGATAACATTTGCAATGAGAGCAATGTTCCCATTGATCATTGAATGCGATCCACAAAGCAAGAGCAGAATTACCCTCTTCAACTGTTAAATAAAATAAACACCCAAACACAACCTGGTAATATTAGCTAGAAAATTATTGAAAATTATTTGGTTCCACTTGTTCTCTGGTTAGTTTTGCAATGTAGTCTCTTCACAAAAACAATGCTTGGTCTTAACGGGAACACACTGATGTTCTGTGTACAGTTACAGTACATGGCATGGGGCAGAGAGGCACACAGCGTTCCTTCCTCAGCCAATATGCCAGCTGCACTGAGTATTTAGGCCATCTTACTAAGACTATGGAAGTAAACATACAGTTTTCATTAAATGTGCCTTTCCCATAATTGGTACATAAGTATTTCCCATGACTCTGCAGTTGAATAACTTGGCTGGAGGCATATCTGGCTATTAGGAGGAGGGCTTCAAATCTGTTGAGTCCCAGCCATGCCGGGAGACTTGGCACCTCCACATGCTGCTTCCTAATACCAACCCCAGTCTAAAATGTCATCAGAAGCTTTCATAAACATTGGATTTAGCTTCACATAAATTACTGCTGTCCTGCGATGGTTTATGCCAGATTTTAGTGAAAACAACACATTGAGTAAACAGAATAGAAGTAAATGCAAAGGAATCATAATCCAAGTCCATGATGATAGAAAATTGTATACCAAGTAAGAAATTGTAAATACAGTGATAAAATGAAAATTTTATCACATACCACTGATATTAGCTATCAATTATATCTCCAGCAGCTAAAGCCATATGCTGGTTTAAGGTTGCAGTAAGTAAAAGGAAGAAGCACACAAAGCAAAACAGAATCATGTAATACTTTTGCAAATCAATTGTTTTGATGGATCAGTGACAATACACTTCTCTTAGTCTTAAAATAGATTAATGTCATAATTCTATCAATATCTTTAATTCAAATTTCCTTGTTTCTTTAATGACTTTTCACTGCCACCCAATAGCAAAATATTCTTGACAGCTCCCAATAAAAAGTAACATCAAAAAGAATAAAAAACAAAAAACCAACAATAAAATCTAAGAATACCACAAAAACAGCAGCAGCAGATAAAACAAATATAGCAAAAACCCACAACAGCACTACAATCTCATAGAAGTTTAACCTTCCATAAATTAACAAATCATGATCTACATTGAGATTAAACAACCTTTTACTTTGGACTGAAAAAAAATCAGAGAATAGGTGCTAGGTGACCTTCTCCCTAGTAGCCACCTGGCATCTCTGGGTGTCATAGCATGGTTCATATTGCAAGAATAAAACAGCATCTCTGCATCACTCTTTCTCATTGTCATTTGGCCTGTGTTCCAGAATTATGAAAAAGTTTAGAGGAGGAGACCATAGATCAGTATCTAATAAGTAAGTGTCCCCTGTCTTTTCCCAACATGTCTGTTAAAAATATGTATGTATGCATGCATGCATTTCCTGCCTTGTTTTCTTTCCAGGGCACTCAAGGAGGCTTACATAATTCTCGTCCAGTTCTCAGTGTTAAATATTGCAGTTAGTTGAGCTGGAAAGGAGCTCCATCTAAGAGTTGGGAGAACAAGCAGGAATCAGCAAGATGGACCAGTGGCTTGCCATAAGTTTTTAACATGCTTACTTGGAGGAGAATGTATTTTTAAAATAAAACAGTCATGTCTTGATAAAGGACTGTGTTTCCATTGAACTGCTTTTCTCAGACAGAAATGGCGCCCATTATGTTGGAGGTTCCATGGGAGTGGGCCAAGAGAATTCATATAAAGCCCTGGCCACCTCCAGCTGCCTCAGTGTGTTTTCAGATGGTAACACCAAGGGGTACAAGCACAAATACTCAGGCTAAGTAGACGTCTGGGGACATCCTGGCCGTTGGCTGAAGGATTATGGTTTTTTCACCTAATTCATGCCATCACACATCTAGGGAACTTTTCTCAGCTATGATTTGGCTGACTGGAATTCATACATATCCAACTGTGTCACAGCTGGCAGACGCAGACCAGGCCAGCAAAGAGCTACAAACTCAATATGGCTAGTAGGCAACCCCAGCGGTATCACAAAATGGCTGAATACAAGGGACTCTCCAGCAGCAACTGGTTCATGACAAGGTGTATAGAACCCTAAAAAAAAGGAGTGATCACATCATTAAAAGATTTGATGTGCAGACACAGGGTGAGGCAGGTGATACTGCCTCTTGCAGACTGATAGCAAGAGAGTTAGCTTCCTAGCATTCACCTGAAGTTCAACCACCAGTAGTGATGGTGTTAGCCTAGTAGCTAATTTGTTACCTTATATGTTATAAGTTCTGTTAAAATGATTTTTTAAAGAAGCTGTGCCTATTTAAGCAATTATTTTCACCTGTCTTCCTTCCCGGTGGTGGGCAACCTCAATATGTTTTAAAAAATATTTAAAGTATCAGCTTTATCCACTTGGGACATAATCTAATACAAAGGCCCTACTCCATCAGCTATTTCTTTAAGGACAGAAACAAGAAAATGCTTTGTTCACATATATTTGCATGTGACTAAGTTTCCTTAGTCCTGTTGGAATTGGATGGTTAAAGTGTGAAACATTTGTCATAATGGTTCTATTGGGAACAGTATGTTTTCAAAAAATTGCCATCCTATCAAACACCCACTATAAATCTATTATGAACTTTCTAAAAACAAAACAAATTTCCTACCTTTTGAATAATGGCATCCATTTTGGCTTTGCCTGTTCTGTTCCTCTTTAGCTCTAAAGCTATTCATACCTACGAGGCACTACAGCTGTCAACTAACCAGGAAACAACAAAACAGCCTGATCCCCTGTCCCTTTTCCAGGAATCAGTAGGTGAATTTGTTAATTACACAGAGATAAACATCATTACTTACTAATTGGTATTCATCAAATTGCTCTTAAAGGGCAGCTCCAGCAATCAATTCATAACCCTAAAATGGGCTATCCTTTAACATATATAAGCTCTAGAATCTACACTAATTCTGGCTGTGTCGTTTGCTTATTTCACAGCAACTTTACATCCTGGGAACTCTATTTTTCCTAATTCTCTTCTTTTATATAAGTAACATATGAATTGTTGGAATTATATAAAAACTATAATGAAGTATAATGAATTGTATACCATTAGGATGTTTTCATCTGTTACTATAAATGCTAGAAAATGCTTAGATAAAGCAATTCTTTGTGGTTACCTTCTTGGTGCGGTTGTACTGACTTTAAACTTTCACGAGCAGACACACAGGAACAACAAGAGACTATGCACAGCTTGTAGGAATGGACTTCCTTACCCATCTCCACATGGGCCCTGCAGCATCCCAAGCATGCTGCACAGACAGTTAGGAGAAATGAATGGGATTAATTGAATCAGATGAATGAGATGAATCAGATGGATTGTGGTGCAGGGGAAAGCAATCCTGCCCCCCAAATTTATATATCACATAAATGGATATATTTGGGTTATGCCAGGGACTTTCTGGGGAGAAAAGGGTACTAGCTTTTCTCTGTTGTAAGAAACATGGACAAGTATGGTCTTTTATACAGTAACTGTGAGACTTTATAATTTAATATTGCATAACCTTATACCAAAATATAACTTTAACCTAAAGGTATCCCTGGTGAGTAAGCAAAAGAGTGAGGTGTTAACCTCCATTGCTAATACAGCTGAGAGGTTGGGGAATATGAACTGTTGAAGTAGAAATCTTAACATAAAATCAGCCTGATATCCAGACACTCAGAAAGGATTGGCATGGGGAATTAGAATCCCATGTTCAAACACACCAGTGAAAAAGTGCCACATCTTCTGTATAATCCATATCTCCCAATGTTCACCATTATATACCAGTTCATGAGGAGGTTGGACAGGCAGAGGTCTTGCACCCATCCTGCTTGAGTGATCCTCTGGGCAGCTGGTTTGCCACTGTGGGTATGAAATGCTGGACTAGAAGGACCTTTTATCTGATCCAACATGTTTTTTGGATCAGATAAACTGCACTTAATACAGCAATAGCTACTCTTTGGGGCATAGTCAATTCCACAGTGCCTGTTTCAGAAAAAAACTATCACCCTCTGATAAACGTTGGCTATGCGGGACAGCAGAAGCATGATTAGTGCACATGATATGGAAATACTTGGTGGTGGCCTCCTTCAGGAGAGAAGTTGGTAGACATATCAACTTTATCCTAAATACATCATCCTTGTTAAAAATGTCACTGTATTGCTGAATTACATTCCCACATCCTGGAAGCTATCTTCTGGCCACTTCCAGTGGACTACCTGGGCCCTCATTGTGGCTAAAGGATCATACTATAGGATTGCAAAGAGAAATCATCTCCTGAACCATACAATGGACTGAAGATCTCTCGATATCAAGAATATTATATGAGAGAATATACTACCAACAACTATTCCATCTCAACATTCATTCTGCCATTTAGTCAACTTTGAATATGTATGTGTCTCTGTGTGTATGCATATGTTTGTACATATATATTAGTAATGTATCTCAAGTTCAGTTTAATACATCTCTGGTCTATCTTGTGTGACTGTATGCTTTTTTCTTTTTATGTATATCAAATAAAAATATAAAAAAGCTCCCACCTCGTTCTTCAACAGTACTTATGCACATTTTAACAAAGTGGGGGACTGTGGAGCCATCACGTTCACACACACGATGTAAATAGGATCCAAACACTTGATCTAGAAAAGAGCAAAGATGGATTAAAACAGGATTGTTCAACACAATAAGCACTCTTGGAATCTAGGAGGTTAGCACTGGTAAGCTGGTAATGTTTGTATCTCCTGGTATCTGGCAATCTAGATCTTTAAGCAAACTTAGCTTTACTAAATTACGGACAACAGCCTGTCAAATAATTATTTCCCATTCTTTGAAGGCATAATGTGGTTTGTTTGGTTGGTTGGTTGGTTGGTTTTTGCTTGGTATACTGCATACATGAATGACCTGCTGATCTATAGTTAATTGTATAACTATATCATTCAAACTAACAGAACAAATCAGCTGCATGACTAATTAAATTCTGCTGTTTTCAATCAGAATTTTTCATAACTAATCTGAGCTGGACTGAGACCAAGTGCCAGGACTCAGCAATGGATGCACTGCTTTTATGCTACCCAACAAGAGAATTTCCTTTACCTGCAATGGATGCACCTGTGGTTCACTGGAACAGAAGAGAAACTTTTACTATACAGACATACCTCACTCAACAGATTTATAAATCTCAGCTGACTGTTCTGAGTTTCAGGATTCAGTTTATAGATAGTAGTCCCTGAACAACCACTCAGCCAAAGTGGTAGCGTAAAAGATATATTTATTGTTCAAACAGTGTTCAAGAGTTATGGGATTTTGTGATGAAGACACAGAGGCCACATCACCACATGCAGTACAATTAGGTTGATTAGAAGCATAATAGAAATTGTAACTGGCATATTCTTAATAAAATTAAAGTTCTTATTGTCCTCAGTCAGCAAAACAATTCTGAGCATAGCATGCTAGTTTGTACGGACGGGTGCAGCAGGCAGGACTGTGTGGTACCCCCAGCTCTGTCTTCTAACAAAGGGATATGGCTGGGAGAGATTTCAGGGAAAAGAACTGCTGTCACCCCAAGACTTGAGCATATGATGCCTGAGGTGCTTGTTTCACTTGCAATTTTGTCCCTTGCCTCAGGCAGAAAGTGTCAATGGATAAGGCATGCCTTGAAGGATACACAGAGGTAGTTGGTTCTCAGCTGACTGAAGTGCTAGTTAGGACTTGCACTTGCTATAATTCTGAGAACTTAATCCTGTGCAGCTATGATACTAGATACCCAAAAGATTTGGGGAACAAGCCCACTGGGGGGGGAGCACAAATTTGCACATATTAATTTGCATATGCAAATATGCATACATAATTAGAAATAATTACTACAGATGAAATGGTATAGAAAGCAACCTAATTAACCTTGCTTGCTTTCAGGAGAGAGCTGCATAATGACTCTAATTATACTTGCTTGAAACTTATCCCCCTCTGCCCATCATCCACCTATCTTTCCCTTGCCCTTTCAGGCACAAATCCAAACGGGGAAGATGGAATGCCTGGGCTCACCAAAGAGCTGTATGGCACCTTAAACATGGGCCAATTTATTGCAATGACACACCGTGGACTATAATAACCCCTGCTGCTGAGCCAGATAATATCCTGTACCATCTCAGCTGCCTTTTCTCCACAAGCCACTACAGTCATGTCTAGGGAAACATTTTGATGCCTGCCACGGAACACAAAATGGCATGTTGCCTGCCCCCCATCCTCATCAAGGTGTGCCATAGTGCCAAAGTCAATCAAGCTATTTTCACCCCGCAGCAGAAAATCCTATAAGCACCACTCCTATTACCTGTCAGTGATAATATGATAATAGTTAAGAAATTACACTTGTCTAGGTACATGATAAGCAACATCTTTCAAAACAATTTTCTGTACATTGCACTTTAGACCATGAAAGCTTATTTTGCCTCAGTAAATGTGTGAATCTTTAAGGTGCCACAAGGTGGAAACACAAAAGAGAAAGAAGCCCCTATCTTCTTGCCACATCTCCCTAGAGTAGTGCAAACAGTGCCACAGAGGACCATGAATCCACCAGAATCTGGGCACACGGACCATGCAAAAAACAGGTGTTCTCCAGGAAGATTATTGCAGAGCCCAGACACAATTATCAGGCACATTCAGGCAAACTAGAAAGCTGAGGTAAGCTGTAAATTCATACATTCCCTCACCCTGAATTCAAACTCAGCAGCTCATTCGAACTCTCTTTGCAAGCAAACTTGCTTCTCTTTACGTTCAACAGAAAGTCATTGGTCAGCCTTGAGGAAGCAACAGCCTCTGATCACATAGCTATGAATAGCCAATGCGCCTGGTGTTCTTGTCATGACCTTGTTGCCTGCAGTGGCCAGATGGAGAAATGCAATTGTTTGGTAGCAGTTGGTTGGTTCAGCCAGACTCTGAGAGACTAAGTGACAGTGGTGCCATTATGCAGTTTTGGACTCAATGTGTTTAAAAGGCTGGTGCATTCATGGCACACTTCCTATAAGTCAACTAAGGAGTGAGTCCTAAGATTTCTTAATAATTGCAAGGCTTCTGAATCCAGAGGGAAGAAACAGGTACGTATTAAGCAGGCAGATGATGGAAATGGGAAGCTCTAAAGATCTGAGCACAGCTCAGGAGCCAGCCACAGGTGACTTCTCCAATACCACCCTTGCCTGTGCAGAAACTGTAAAGCCACATGTGGAAAATGTTAACTGTACTGTTCACGTAAAATTGTATTTATTTCTGCCACAGTGTGCATTAGTTGTCTGGAAGAGTGGAATCTAGAATGAGCTGGCCAGAAAGAATACAGAAATATCTACTCAGCAAGTGGAACAAGTCAGCCATGCCTAATTGTAGTCCCATTGCTTTCAAAGCTAGCATTTGATATTGTACTATGCCTTCCATGAATGGAGTACACATTGCATATATATTGCCATGCTCTACACAGTAGCAGAAAAGTTTTCAGGGGAAGAAGTAGATGGACAGTAGGGTCAGCTTGGCACAGAAATGCATGCTACAGAGGATTCTGTGGCATACTGGCATGTTCTTAATGGCTTTGGAATCCTTTCAGAGAAGTAATTTAATAACCTTTTTGTATTATGTTTGGATTCCTTATTACAGCATTTATACTTAGCCAACCACTTTAAAATCTATCTATTTCCACATTGCATTTCCTCCCAGAGTTTGTACAAAGCAGACATTTCATATATTGGTAAATGTTTAATTGTTATTTTAAGGGAAATTCTTTGTTTGGATAAGAACAAGTTGGCCCTGGCCCTGGACAACACTTGTAAATTGTGCTGTTTAGAAATGAAATTGTATTTAACACAGCCTTTTTGTGCTTCATAACTTTAAACCTCTGTCTGGCTGAGGTTATCCATCATGAAGCATGTCAGCATAACTAGGTTAGTGTTCTAAGATTACAAATTAGCTTCATCCTCCTTCATCTCTGCTATATATTTTTGACAAATTATGAAAAGAGTGCTCCTTAATGGGAACTTTGTCAGCAGAATCAAAATGAATCAAACCTATGAGGGAAACCATTCAATAGAAGCGGTTTAAAATGTTTAAACAATGTGGCTATAAGATCATCATTTAAACCAAGAGATAGTCTTCGCATACCTTTCCAGTGGAGCATGACACTTTGAAAATTGGTGTAGAGGCCTTTGACAGTGCTCTGTAATCAATGTTTCTTGGCCAAGCTTGAAATAATCCTGGGAGAGCATGTCTAACTAACTGTACAGTAACCTGCACAACATTAAGGATTGGCATATTCACCCTTAGCTTCACCCACCCGCAGGCCTATTGAGTGATAACCTGGATTTGATTATTCCAGAGAATATATATTTCATCCTCTAACACATTATATACACTTTGAGAATCTTTCCTCAAACAATTTTATTTTACAAGAAACTACATGGCTTGGTTCACAGCTTGCGAGAACTACACTGAAGTCCCTGAATAGCAGCTCCACAGTGCAACCCTAAAGGTACCTTCTCAAAAGAAATACGTACCCTTGTGTTCAGTGGGGCCAAGTGTGCAGCCATGATAGGGGCTCAGGAAAGTATTGCCCAGGTCTCCCTGCTCCTTCCTTCTCCAGCCAGTGATCTTGCTATCTCCCCCACCATTCCATCCTTTTTTCGTTCCTACTAAAACTTGCAGTGATAATTCCTGCACCTCCTTGCCCAGCCCTGCACTTGGATGGGATGGCCAGCCCCATGGTATGGCACTGTAACCCCTTAGGCTTAAACCCAGGTTTTGAGTAGCAGAGCCCTGAACCAATGCAACACTGCTTTTGAGAGCTCATGGCCCAAAAGGGCACTGGAGCAGCAATGGGGACATTTTTACATTACTTTTGTGAACTTCTAAATCATGTCTCGAAAAGGCAGCATCTGAATCAGTTCAGACAAGTTGTTGCTGCTTTTTAAATGGTGTGCCACAGTGAAAGGTGGTTTTGTGAGTTGCTGCAGAAAAACCTCCTTGCTGCTAATGGTACTGGGGTAGAGGCAGAGGAAAGGAAAGGAAAGGGGCTGGGTACTGACCCTGCCACAGTTCCAAAGGTTTCCTTGCCTCTATCTGGCCCTTGCTGGGTCACTAAAGGGAACTTTTCCAGGGAAAGTGGATATAGGACACCATCAGCTTTTCCTGTTTTGGGTTTCCCAGAAGCTTAACTGCTAGGTTTGGTAGCTAACATGAAAATGGGCAAAGCACATTTTGAGTCTTCAGATGGCATTGGATGGGTGGTTACAGGAATAAATGGTGGTGTCAGTTGATTGGATAACTGAGATATCAAGTCTGCAAAAAATAACATCAGAAGCTCCTCTATTTAGCTGCCTATCTAGCTCCTCTATCTCCTACAATAACTAAGTAGCCCCTGAGGATCTGTAAAAATGTTGCATAATTGTTTAGTTTGACTTAAAAAAGGTATTGGAGCAACATGGATTTTGATGTTTATTATGGTCAACACAACTACCTTATCACTGTTGGCACATATAATTATGGATGTAATTTAAGTTCCTAAGCAGCTGATTGACACTTATCCAAATTTATTCAAATGCAGTTGCATAGTCAAGACAGCAGCTCTAATTGTTTCTGTGATTTCAACTCTGCATGTCACAACAAC